TGTCGACGTACTGCACAACATATTGACAGTTAAGTTGTCAATCCCAACGGATGGTTTCTATAGAGGTGCCTATAACGAAGCTATATATCTTGGTACACGGGAAGTGGATTGGGTTGCTCCGAAAGAAATTACAGGTACTCTTATTTTGTGACCCGTTATATGTTGTCCTCCAGATAGACCATCCACACGACGTAAGTTATTCAGATACGAGTATACCACACGACTCAGGAAATGCACTCGTTGCGGTAGAGTTGGTCATAACTGGACCACATGTTTGAACCCTACTGTAGCACAACTCACTTAATAGGCTTGATTTTCGAAAGTGGTTAAAGTTTTATGTTAGACATTTTCCCTTGGCGTACATTTTGAAATTATATTATCATTTTCTTTTCATTATCGTTTGCAGACGTTGTTTCTCCTTATATTTGCATTAAAATTATGAATCCTTACGTGGACGTACTGCACAACATACTGACAGTTAAGCTATCAATCCCAACGGATGGTTTCTGTCATTCTCGACAAATGGTTGCAAATTGAAAATTTTCACTTCTCCGAACAAACGATGCATAAAGTAATATGGTATTCCCTAGCACATTCTAAATTTGCAGCATAATTAATCCTTGGATGATAATTACAATGGAAGTTGATGTCTTGATACAATTACAGGAACAATATGTGAGGAAGGTGCTAACTAGGTTTAGGATGGATGATGCAAAACAAGTGAGCATTACTTTGGCTAGTCATTTCAAGGTATCAAATGAGCAATCGCCCTCTATAGAGAAAGAACAATCCTACATGGTTTGGGTGCTTTATGCCTCTACTATTGGCAGTGCTATGTATGCTATGGTGTGTACAAGATCAGATATAGCACGTGGTGAAAGTTGTGAGTAAATGTATGAGGAATCTAGATAAAGGCATTAGTAGGTAATAAAGTAGATTCTCGGGTACTTGAGAAGTAGTATAGATTTAGTCATATGTTTAAGAAAAATAGACTAAGGATTACAAGGCTATGTAGATGCTCATGTGGTAGAAGATATCAATGGCAGGAAGAGTACTATTGTATATGTATATACTTCGGGTGGAGCAACACTTAGTTGAGTGTCTATAGGGATGGAAAAAACTCATTCAACCCAATACCCATGGAGCTCCACCTCGAATGGGATTAAAATTACTCACCTACCTAGTAAATGGGGTGAGGAAGCGACGAGAGTCGTTGCTCTGAAGTGGGTACGAAAAACATAGTTCTCGCCTCATTGCCTGCCATGTTTAAAGTTAATTTTAAATTTTAAATTTTTTATCAAACAAAAATAAAAAAAATTACCATCATTTTTAATGAGAAAATGAGTTGTTCTTAACAAATTGGGAAAAAATTAATAATCACTAATTGAAGACATACAAAATATAAAAGCAAAAAAAATAAAATAATAATAATAAAATAAATGGGACTATAAACTGGACAAGGACATGTCATGCCTTGCTTTAACTGGGTAGGGGGTGGGTTGAGGGAGGGAATTGTTAACCTATCTCATATCTGCCACGTTGCCATTCGTAAATGTCTAGACTATAGATGATAGTTTCTCTCCACTACTAAGGCAAAGTATGTTGTGACAGAAACTAGCAAATAGATGATATAATTGTGGTCTTTTTTAAAGAGAATTAGATCACAAGTATGGTAAGAGTGTTTTGCATTGTGGCATTTAGAGTCCTATTCACTTAACAAAGAATCCAATTTATCATGCAAGGACAAAGCACAAACATGTTCGTTATCACATCATCATACCAACTTTGGAGGAGAAATCTTAATACTTAAGAAGATTCAAGAGAGTAGAATTCGGTTAATATATTGACAAAGGATGTTCTGAACGAAAACTAAAGTTGGGCTTCTCTTTTGAGGATTAAGGAGTTTTTGCCACTACAAAGGAGCTACTCATGGTGAATTGGTCTTCAAATGAGAGATTGTTAACCTATGAGCCTAATTATTATCATTTCAGGGAGCCTGTATGTAGATCGAGTACTTGGAAGGGGGCATGAAGTCCCTCTCCTGGATGGGTGTGAGGGTAGAGCTCTCGTTCATTATGGACAATTTAGAAACTTGTATCCTTTTAAATAAAATAATTATCATAGAAGAGAAAAAGAGAGATTAGAGAAGAGATGTATAATTTTCTCTTGTAAATCTCTTTTCATCATAGTGAATTAATATAGTTACAGAAGATGACATAGTTTGACATTGAGATGAACGTTTATATGCCTTGTGTGTCTTTATTTATTTATGATAATTAATTGATCTCAATGGACTATATTCAGGATTTTTAATTCTTAACAGCATCTACCGAAACTCTAGAGACAAATTATTATGAAATCTAAAAATATTGGGTGGACATCCATCATGCTTACGCTAATGCACAATATGCATGCATGATGCGTTCATATGACCAAAATTCACTAAACATTAGCATATCTAAGAATTAACTACATTTGAATTTTATGGTAGCTATGTGATAACCTTTCAAAGCATTAGGTACCCCAATAGATAAACAATATTAAATTTGTAAAGATACCATGTGAAATTCAAACCTACAATTCGTGAATTAAGAATTTCGACAACAAAGTCCACTCAACATGAAATAAAAGTACATTGTACATTCAAATTTATTTCTTGATTATGACTTCTCTTTTGTGGTCATTTTGTTAGGTTGGCGATGTAACGACCACCATCAAAAGTCCTTTACTATGGATGTAAATAAGTAGATATGCCTATGAATAGTATATGGTACAAGAAGAACAAGCCTTTTTTTATCTCCGTTGTACCTCATTAAATGACATGTTAATGCTGGCACCAGTTATTTCCTCAATGAATGTATATTTAGCATACAATATAAAGCCCCTGTTGGGTTCAACTACAAAAATTGTTTAAAATTTAGTTCAAGGCCAACAATTAATTTTAATTACATATTTTACGGGTTTCACAGATTTTCAACCACACATTTCATTAAATTTTATCAAAATTCACTAAAAAATTAATTTTTTATCTAAACTAAACAGGGGCTAAATAAGGTAAACCATATTTTAGACCTTCTTAGCACATGTTTGAAAAGTTTTTATTAACATTTTAAATTGTAGAACTGATTGAAATAAGTGATGAATAAGTGAACAACTAATAATTGTGGGTCCCATAAATATGTAAATAAAAATGTTTTAACTTTTTACAATAATTGATATACATTAGCAAACCACGAAATTATTCTTTTAATTGTTGTGAATATTATAAGTCCACATTACCACCTTACCGAACAATCAAATAATGTTGAGCATCTTCTAATAGGTATAGTGCTTGTTTGGTAGAGATTTTGTTAATTTATTTTTTTATCGTTAGAGATAAAGTGAGTTCTACCTGTGTGAGAAAAATTCAAAACTGACGACTGGAATAGTGAAATAACAGTCAAAAAATTGATTTTAATTGACTTTTAATTCCTACCAAACATGCTCATAGTTTAAAATAACATGCCTTTCTTCATCTTCCTTGTGCCTTAAGAAAGGACTAACTAATATAATGTTGTGACCAATCATCACATTCTAACTCGATAAGGTATGTTAACTATTGCAATATTAGATAAAATTGCATAGTGTAAGATTTTAATTTCTTTTTCTTTCTTTCTTAATGTTTGCTTGTATCTTACAATTCACCATACCAAACTAATTAAACTATGCATTAACGTTGAACAACTTCGAATGGGTATAATTTTTAGTTTGAATCCCTTTTAAAGGTTTACATTCACACCAAATAAAAGTCTTCATAATCGTTGTCATTATTTTTCATAAGTGTGAAATGGACATAACAAGAAGTCCAGGCCACACACTTGATTCAACATAAATGAATAACTGAATAAAAGTTACGTAAAGGATTAGTGTACTGATCTTCTTTGCAAAAAAATAAAATAAAAAAAATAAAAAAATGATAATAAAAATAAAACAAGGGTATGAAATGAACAGCTAATGTAGGGAAATGTCCATTTTTTTGTCACTTAATATTAGAAGTCGAGATCTTGTTTTGATCAATAAAATGTATTCTGCAGAAGGATTAAATAAGAACAAGAAAATTAATAAACAAATGTTTCGGATACCTCTTTTAATTCTAAAAAGTTGACAGATTCTAATGTACAAAATATGTTGTGTAAACCTCATCACTACAAACATAATTTAAAATAAATGTAAAATTTGTGCGCCTGCAGATAAATTGAGGAATGGTAAATGCATTCCTGGGAAACAATGTAAATAATGGGGAGATGTTTTAGGACTTTTTTAAGCTCTGCGTTCGAGTGACATTTCACCACTAACCACAACTCATTCGGAAGCTTTACGGAATTATTATGAAGCTACGCGACTAGAAATTGATCCCTATGATCAAAGATGTCAAACCAAAAAATATCCTCCTATGATTTTTTCTTCCAAAATTGTCCATTTTACACCCATTAAATTTCGTTTCTACAAAAATGATACCTCTACTCGACCACTTGACACTTGGGATCGAATTGACTTCTCAACCAATTGATCCACCGTCGAGTTTAATCGAAGTCCCGCTTAATATACTTTTTTCCTTAATTTAGGTGTCTTGATGTACATTCAAAACCTTATTAATCTAACTTTGGAAAAATTCTTTTAGAGAGTTATTTTTCACTTTCTTACCTACTCAAGTCTTCTTAACAAAAACGTCTAAATTACAAAATTGGAGTTCTATATTAAAACAAAAAGAAAACAAATCATATCAAGAAAAATAAAAAAATTATTTTTGACTTCTAAAGGAACCATGCTGTTCAAATGAAAGGTAACGAGAGTTTGTAAACCCAATGGCTATGGCTCCCACTATGTTTTTGCCCTAAATAAACTTCTCAATAACACTTGTGCCCTATTCTTTGACCCCCAGAGGCCACATGCCATTGTTTCACCAACCCCACCTCCCACCCCACCCCCTAAATTTCCACTTTATATACCCCTTTCGAACCCCCATTCATTCTCACCACATCCTTCAATACTCACTTTCTTTTACTGTAAATCAAAAAAACTTTGATCGTCCATTTATTTTTTCTCAGTTTTCTTCTCCAAAAATGGCTATCAGAAAATCAAGCAAGCTGTCACAAACAACAGTTCTAAAACAGATCGTAAAGCGGTGCTCGAGCTTGGGGAAGAAACAAGGGTACGACGAAGAAGGGCTTCCTCTCGACGTGCCAAAAGGTCACTTTGCAGTGTACGTTGGACACAACAGAACTAGATATATCGTTCCCATATCGTTCTTGACAAGACCTGAATTTCAAATTCTTCTCCAACGTGCAGAAGAAGAATTCGGGTTTTATCATGACATGGGACTTACCATTCCTTGTGAAGAAGATGCTTTTGAGTCTCTTACCTCAATGCTTAGATGAGGATATACATGAAGCTGCTTTTGCTTCTGTATTTTTTAATTAATTTTTGTTTTTATGAAGGATTTTTTTAGGACGTTCACTTGAAGCAGACGAGTTAAATTGGGTTTATATATTTAAAGTTAGAATAGGTTTGATTTTGCATCGTAGTGATGATTCCACGTTGTAAGTCTTAACTTGTATTATGTCCTACGAATTTGCAAATATGAAATAATTTTTGGAAATTTATATATTATCTATTTGTCATATTCTATTTCTTATTAGTACGGAATTAAACAAGAAGTATGATATTGTTCATGTATTAATTAGGGACTTCGATTTTCGAAAAAATAGTTTCATGATTCACTAGTTATTTAGATGCTCGTCAAATCTGAAAAGTTCAAAAACTTAGGTTAAAGAATCAAAGTCACTAAAATTTAATTTGTGATGGACTGTTGAATTACTTGTGTAGTACGCAATAGCCCCCGTTTGGCCCACATTTTGTGGAAATGAAAATGGGTGAAATAATATTTTTTTTTTATGAAAAATAAGTGGTTGAAAAATAATGAAAAATTTTCGATTTACGTATAATATTATTTTATGGAAGATTGTGTGGTTGAAAATAGGAGAAAGAAAAGTAAAATGAAATTGAATGAAAATTAATGGGGACAAACTGGCATGCAATTTGTGTACAAGTTTAAATTGATTATGAACTTTCAGTCCTCTTGTCATTGAGATGGACCCTAACATAAATTACAAAACGAATTTCTGGTTACTTTGTAAGTCCATATTTGAGAGGTGTTAATAGGTACCTTAAGTAAACAAGTCAATGGATTATAATTAAGATTTTAATCAAAATTAAAATCAAAATCAAAATCAAAATTTAATTTTAATCGCATATTTCATGAAATTCGCAATATTCAACTACACATTTTATTAAGTTTTGTTAAAATATACTAAAAATCTGATTTAATCCCGTCAAATAAGGGCAAGAAGTTAATAGATCACTTGCTCCTACGAGCCATCAACGAGTATTACTATAGAAATTTCTACGTCAAACTCAAGCATGTCAAGATAAGATTCTAATGCGAAAGGAGTTCAGTCCTATTGTAACTCTTCATGTGACTTTGTTTCTAAATCAATCACTCTCACCCCCTCTTTTTTAAATCCACAATCATTTCTCCAACCATTGTTTTGTACACTTTTTCTATCACCATTTTATTAGATCCGTGTTTGGTTCAACCAAAAAAGTTGATTAAACTTTAAGTAAAAATTCACAATTAATTTTAACACACATTTCAAGGAACAAACTTTTCAATCACATATTCCATCAACTTTAATCAAATTTACTAAAAATCTAATTTTTATCTGAACCAAACTAACATAAGTATTAACTAGGAATGACAATTGGACTCGTCGACTCGGGCCGCTCGTGACTTGGCTCTAAAAATGCTCGAGCTTGCCCAACTCTAGGCTTGGGAGAATTGAGCCTAGGCTCGGGCTGAGCCCCATTTTTGTGTGCCGGGTAAAGCCCGAGCCAACCCATATGATTCGCCAGCTCAAGCTCATTAGTTAAAAAAATTCAAAAAAAATAATAATTTAAAGGCAGCAACCTGTTGCCAATATGGCAACACTTGTCTTTAAAAAAGGTAGTAGGGGCTGCATTTTTCATATTAAAAAAACAAAAATCCAAAACAAAAATCGAGCTTACTCGGCCCGGCCCGATTTGGCTCAGAAAGGCTTGAACCAAAAGCTCGGATCGAGCCTAATTTTTTTTGCCGAGCAAGCTCGGACCCCAAAAAAAGTTCGATCATTTTACCCGTGCCTCGAATCTTGACTTGCCAATCGATTTGACTCATTGACATCCCTAGTATAAACACACTTCCATACAAAGACCTTCATAATCTGCGTGTTGCTATATCTCGAACTAGGATGAGCCATAGCCATTGGGTTTCTATATACCTTGCGATATGTACTAGTTAAATTAAAGCCATTCTATTCCATACCAAATGAAATACTGAACCATTCATTTCCTAGGGATCTTGGTTTTTAATTTCTAGTAGTAAATGATCTTGGTTTTTAATTTCTAGTAGTAAATGAGACTTTCTTCTTCGAGCTTACTCAGCTCGGCCCGATTTGGCTCAGAAAGGCTTGAACCAAAGGCTCGGATCGAGCCTAATTTTTTTTTTTTGCCGAGCAAGCTCGGACCCCAAAAAAAGTTCGATCATTTTACCCGTGCCTCAAATTTTGGCTCGCGAATCAACTCGACTCGACTCGTTGACATCCCTAGTATCAACACACTTCTATACAAAGACCTTCATAATCTCTGTGTTGCTATATCTCGAACAAGGATGAGCCATAGCCATTGGGTTTTTGTATACCTTGTGATATGTACTAGTTTAATTAAAGCCATGCTATTCCATACCAAATGAAATACTGATCCATTCATTTCCTAGTGATCTTGGTTTTTAATTTCTAGTAGTAAAAGAGACTTTCTTCTTCAAGCAATAAATTACCAATTTGTTACATGTAAAATTACTAACATGATATCAAAGTTTGTAAAGTTTGTTACACATTTATAAAAATGACACTAATTGTGGCTAAATATACGAAATTAGTGAATCCATCACCTTTGTAATGATTAAAAATATAAATATAAATTGATTATTTGAACATTTATATGATCACAAATTCATTATTATCTATTTATAAGAGTTCAACTTGTCCAACTTTTGAAGGAAAAATGATATAATGATCAAGTGAGGAATTTAGGTTTCTTTAAACTTTCAGATTAAAATGGTTATTTAACACATTACAATACATCCGTTAGATAAATCTTATCAGAATTTAAATTCCTGACTCTCGAAGAAAATATTTATTTTTGCAAGAGAGTTTCGTAAAATTATATATTTATTTTTGTAAGAGATTTTCAGAAAACTATATACAAAATATATACAGATAAAGTACGTCACTTATATTTAACCCATATTTAACTAAAAATTAATTTTTTGTAGATTTTTATAAAATTTGATGAAATATGTTGTTCAAAAAGTTGTGAATCCCATGAAATAAGTGATTAAAATTAATTATTAACTTCGATTTTGATAAAAATTAAGACTTTAATCCCATCAAGCATGGACTTAATGTTTCGGACAAGAGAATCACAATGTCACGTGTCAATAAGTATGAAGGTTGTCTTTTCAAGCATTCTCACTTTTTGATTCATTAGTCTCAAATCTGTGGGCCGAAAATTGTCTGTATCGATCGGACAACCTTGATTTCTTGGATCTAAAAATATTTTGCTTTCCTCATATTTTCTTTTTCGTATTGACAAAAAAATAAAAATAAAAATATTAATTGTATTGTCGAATAATGTTTTGTTAATTTCAACAAAATCGCCAATTGTAAAAGACAAAAGTCTATTATTTTAACGAAAATTGCACCATGCATATCCAGTTGATTATTCTTATAGAAAGTTAGGCTCCAACATTTAATTATACTTGCATAATCAAACTCGGAAAAAGTAAAAAAAAAAATGTTTATAGATTTGTCAAACAGTCACATGACGTTGAGTGTTCAATCAGTGAAATGAGACATGTCATCATGATGGTGACGATACAAGAAACGATGATTTGGACGCTTCTTTTATTAGACGTTTTCTCTAAAATTCTACTTATTTCAGTTTTTTCTTGTAAATCATACTTGATATTTGGTCTTTCTTGGGATATCATTTATATTTTGAAATAAATAGGGACCACAAAATAAATTTAACAAAACAAGATAACATTTCACATGCAGAATACTATGATCCCACAAGGATTTGTTTCAACCTTTATCTTGTGAGGGTATAACTCTTTATCTTGTTTGGACTTTGGCTCTTCATTGAAAATGTTGATTCTTTCTTTATCCATGTCCTTTACTGTTTGTCTAATGTAATTTCGGTAGAATTAGAGTTTTTTAGATTTCAACTTCTACCATTTTCAGCATAAAGTTCCTATCAATTTGATATATCAAAATTGTCTTGAGAAAGTGATGCACTAGCTTCCCACATTCCATATGTCCATCTTATTGGTTTTGTTGGAAAATTGTGCCGATGTCGATAGACTCTAATTTATTGTTTCAATGTAATTTAATCTCCAACATTTAAAAATACTTAAGTTGGTCATATACCATTTATTCTATAGTTGTACAATCGGTCCTCAAAGATGAAAACTATTCAATTATTTTAATCATCACGTGATTCTAATCAAAATGTATCTTGATTCTAATTTTTGGATAGTAGTTCGAGTTTAGAAGTAAAACCTAGCTTCATAGGGACACCGTAGTTTTCGCCTAGCTACCGTCTATTTTTCTAAGTATCGTTCTCTATTGTCTTGGATCTTTTGGGAGTCCAACGGTTCGCTCCGTACCTTAAGAGAAACAGTTCCGGCGTACTACTCTATTATGATAATAATTAGCTTTCTTTTTTAACAATTTATGACAATTGACTCTTGACATTAACTATACGGCCTAGTATCAGCCATATGCATCCTCGTGCACAAGGATTTTGAAGAGGCTTGATATTGTGTAACTGTGGGCACATGAAAAAACAGTGGCTTAATTGCTTGAATAATGGATGCATTTGGAGAAATTTACGTGAAAAGATCAAATATGACAAAGTTAGTTTGAACTGTTATCATTACAAATCTTTTAACAAAGTGATATCTATATTGAGAAGAATTTGATTGTCCCCTTGTGATATTTAATATGGCATATTCTTTTGGGAGATTCTCTGCCTAGGACTTGAAATATGTAATATTTGTGGGAATATTTTAATAAATTAGAGTAATATTTATTTATAAAATATTGACTAAAGGTTTGATAATTTTAAGTATATTAATTCATAGAAAATATAAAAAAATTTGTGATATATATTCTAACTATTATTACTTCTTAAATTAGGAATCCAAAAGTACCTTATAGAAATACGCCATTTTCTTTATACTGCACGTACCAATGCAAAAGTGTACATTTCTCGTTTCTCCTCTTATTGGGGCCAAAAAATAAAATAAAAAAAGAATAATAATAATAATAAAATAAAGGAAAATAAGCACTACTGGTACATTTTCTCATTACGTGGTATGACGTCATTTTTTTGACGTAAAAATGCCTAATAAAATATTTATCACTTTATAATTTATATGGGTTATAAATTGTTATACTACTTTTTTTATCCTTATTATTTTTACATCTGATAAATTTTCATAT